GTAGAAATGCTCCAGCACCTGCAACCCTCTCTCTCGCACCAGAAAAAGACTGCAGGCGAGTTCCTAAAGCAGTGGCTGACCGGTAAACGACATTTAGGAAACGCGTCTGTTGTATTTGATCCCTCAAATCATTTAACCATGATGAAGCTGTTACCTGGATGATGGATAAGAGAAGGATTGAGGAAGAGAGTGAAATTTCTTGCTACTAAATTTTCAATGAAACCAACCATAGTGTCATATTTACTGGTGTATAAGGTGCACTCAAATCAAGTGCAAATAAGAATCCCATTTCTCCCCAGAGATGAAACATTATTTAAAGCAACAAATCTGCGTGGAGAAATGGAGCTACCTCAGAACGGAGATCATCAATAGATGCAGTCGATACAGTGGGAACCAGATCAGCTCCATTGACAATCGTAGTCACAAAATGCTTGCCTGATTCTGCTAATTCCCATGTCATGCAAGAAGCTGACAACAAAAAAAATCAGCTGTTATTAGATCCTAACCCAATATATTATGGACACTCGACATGATAACAGTTGACATACCTGGTGCGAATGCAACACAAGTTGTTGAATAAAACTCTTTGTGTTCTCTAAGGATGTAGGTTAGCAATGCAGCAGTACCACCACCCAATGAATGGCCAACAATCTAACAGAACAAAATTAGCTCTTCAAATGACAAGGGGTATTATTGAGACAAAATGATGCAGCAATTTCACCACACCAAAACTTATACAAACAAGATCAGGCATGGCTGAGTTTGAACCATAAAATGAATATGCACCTTGATTTGGTACTCTGGGCATTGTCTGACTGCTTCACGGAGGCATGGTGTTACACCTCTTGCAATCCAGCGGGCTGCTGCAACCATCCCACAGTGCGCATAGCCTAACACTAATTTGCTCACACTGCCTTCATCCAAAAGTGAGAGGTGAAATGGCACCACAGCCCCAGTAGCAGCAGTCAGAGTATCTTTCATGCTATGAGTCCCTCGAATCAAAACAAGGAAGGATTTGGTGCACTCATCACGTAGAATTGTATGAGCAGGCTTCAAAATCTGTTAAAGTAGGACAATGTTGGGAATCAAAAAAGAAAAAAACATAATCAACTAGATTCATATTATCACTACCAACAGACCATGCCTTAAGAAATGGAGCGAACACTAAAAAGCTATCAATACTTACTCACCCCCGCCTTTGGTTCCTCAATAAGAACATCCTCCTGTGAAAATCCAGCTAATTCCCGGAACACTGGAAATGGTTTCTTAGAGAAAAGGAAGCACAGGTCAATCAACCGCCGTAGAACAATCAGCTCTTCCATGATTTCAGGTCCTTTCAGTTCAATGCACTCGCTTCCAGCATATACACTGGCAACATGTAAATTGCCCTGACAAGTAACACCAGGTTACAGTGAACATTAGGTTACTCAAGAATCAGGATTCGTCACCCAACACGAGAAAAGGAACAGCACATAAGTTCTGGTATCCTTTAATAACTTAAGGTAGTACTTAGCTCTGAATCCCTCGGTTGAAAAGTTAAGCCATAATCAGTTCAATCACAACCATCTTATCTCATAGAGGTCCATATTAACAGTTCTCTCACGATTAAGTATGCTAATCAGATATAAACTTCATCTTCAGAGGCATGTTTACTCACAATAAGCACAACTTGAAGATTGAAAAGGTATAACTCTGTCCACCGAAGTATCCGTAAACTGAAATTTACCAGCAACCTCAACTTTGCAGGTGCAACTGCATAACACTAGAATTAGCACTAGCTCCACCACAAAACCCACCAGCTTGATACCTTCGTAGTAGCAATTTTTCGCGGCATGAAAGGCTATCAGCACAAGAACTCACCCGGCTTTGCGAGCATCTATATACTTAGTATCAACCACTACAAGCTTGTAGCCCAAATCCATTCCTACCAGCAGTGCAGAATGCTATCGGGAAACACAATTCGAGCAAAGGAACTCGCATTTCAGATCCAAAACGCAAGCCTTGAGAGCCAAAATTCGAAACGAAACCGAGCCATTTCACTTGGATCCAAGCGGCAGGCAACCCGATGGCGGAATAGCGAGGAGGAACGGTTCTCTGGTCTCACCTGTCGCCGCATGAGGTACTTGATTCCGAAGGCGAGGTCCCCGATGGGCCACTTGCCGAGCGTCTCCGAGTAGGTGAACCGGAGCGTTTCCGCGAGCGTGCCCACCGCCTCGATCCACGTCGCGGGCGGCTGCACCGGGCGCCGCGCCGCCGCGCGCCCCCTCCGCCGCTTCCCGGACCCGACTCCTCCCCCTCCCCCTCCGCCGCCGCCGACGGAGACGTCCTCGCCCGCCAGCCGCCGGCTCAGCACGAAGTAGAGCAGCATGGCGCCGCCCACCGCCGCCGCCATCGTCGCCGTCCCCATGGTCGCCCGACGACGAGGGCGGCGGCGGGATCCCGACGCGAGTGGCGCGGCGAGGGGCCTCTTCAGGACACGACACGACGGTTTTCTCTTCGCAGCGACTGAAATGCAAATATCTCGCTCGCTCCGGTTTCTTCCTTCCCCGCCCCGGACGCGGTTGGGTTTGTTTGGGTTGCTTCGCCGCGTCTGCAACCATGAGCCGATTTGTTGAGCTTTCCCAATTAAAGGCTAACCGATTAGATCGATTTTGGTTATCCTAATCACTCTGACTGGGGTACGGCTAACTCCATCCAATACTCCATTGCTAGTGGATTCGGATATGCTTTGTTTTTGGATGAATATTTTTCAGCAGCTTTTGCTTAAGTGGGATCCGCTTTGTATGCTCCACTGATGATCAATAAAACATTGCTTTCGCCGCTGTATATGAACGACCGCTAAGTTTTTGTTTTATATAAGTCACTCGTAGGCTCTTATATTAAGAGGATAGTAAAAACAAATTTATTCGACAGCAAACTCAAGTGAATGTTCGTGTATCAGATTGTCTGTGTCCATACCATGTTTGAAAAAGAAAATTAGTTGAAAATGGTCTTGCGTGATGGGTATCGGAGTAAAAATAAGCCATGTTATATGGTCAATAATCATAGAAAGCAGTTACTAAATATATATTTCTAGTGGACCAAATATTTGTCATTATGTTGTGTTGTTTATAGGAGTTGGAGGTTGCCTCCACTCTAAATTCACCTTTCTTCTAGAGCTGGAGTGATTTAGCTTGAGATATTTGGGAGCAGAGTTGGGTTTTATGGAAGGAGTAATTCCAAACACCTTGTATATGAGACTGAAGTGAAGGCACCCCTTTCCCAACCTCCCTCCCAAGTTTGATTCCGCAACAAGCAATGGCTCGAAATTATCTGTGACCGCGTCATGCCATGCAACAATTTGATGGTATGGTTATTGGTAATTTGATCGCTTAAAGCAATGCAAAACAGATGTTTCGAATCATTATATAAATACGAATAGACTTTTTTAGAATGTTATGTGTCGGTGTTTTGTATCGGCAACTACTAGTTTTTAATATCATCATGCGTAAGGATCTAATGTGATAGCACATGGAACATGAAGGCTTATACTGGTTCAAGAAAGGTGCCTTATATCCATTGGTGGGGTGGTGCTCGGATCTTTGTCTCCTAAGTGCTCAAAGTTTTAGCAGAGACTCGGTGTATGTTATAAGAGTAGTACCGCGCGCGTGTGTGTTGTGATATCTTGTGTCATGCTACAAGAGGGTACCCCATCCCCTTCGTATACCCAAGGGGATATGGTTCTAAGGAAGAGTAGCGTGTGGTGCTGACGTCTTTCTCATTGCATCGTACGGTCTGACTCGATTACCAAAGTGATTAGATCTAAGGTGACAGTGATCGTGGTGTCGTTCACATAGGGTTAGATGGTGAGCGTGAGTACGTGACCCACGCTTGATTTGATGGACTAGTGATGGAATGGTGCTAGGCATAATGACACTGTTTCAGCTTCAATCCCATTTATCATGCCGTGTGAGCCCATTGTAGCCCGCCTGCCTCAAGTTTTGTCTTATCGTTTGACTTTCGTTACTCCTATGGTTGGTAGCAAGTATTTTATTTGGATCCTCGGTCAGGGGCTTCCCTACCCATGCAGTGCACTTTGACTTAGCTTCAACCAGTAAGAGACCACATCAAGAGTAACGACATCGCCATTAACTTCTTGCACTTGTAAACCCCATCCTTTTGGCTCTATAAGTAACAATGGGGAGCCTCACCTAGGGAGATAATAGAGCAATTCACATGTACTCACACACGCAGGTCACTCACAATTTCATGTAGCACACATCCACCTAACCCTCCGAGTGCTTGGACATAGCAACAAACTCTTCTTGCACTGAACATAAGGCTTGATCACCAAAATCATTATAATTTCTGTGTCTCATATGCATGCAAAATTTTACTTGTCGGGGGTACAAAACATCGGCAACTCTACACTATAATCATCCGCGGAAAGCCCAGTTCGTCGCACGTTGACAAAATAACTCCCTATGGACTTGATCAGAGATTAGGATTTCAGATTTTTATGGATCTTTAAACTTTGTAATGGGAGGAAAACCCCCTCAAGGTTGCATTTTGGTTTGATATATAGACTTAATAGGTTACCAACATTAACTTAAGTCATGAATTTTATAATCATCATAAAACAAATACATATATGATATTAATTAATAAGGGAAATTATTTCTCTTAAATTTTGTAAAAAAGAAAAAAAAAATAGATATGTAACATTTGGTGTCCTATATCGATGGACATTTGATAGTCGCAAACACATGGAAATGTTTTGCTAGGAGCAGTATTTATTATATACATCAAGCTTTCGTTCATGAAGCTAAAGCATCTCGATGTTTCCAGTTTCAGATGTTGTTGAACCACGTCAAGTAAAAAGAATGGATGGAGTAGGTGGGGGGAGCAGAACCACCCTTGGCTGTCTTGGTTGGTGCGCTGATGTGGCATGATCGGGAGCTTTTTATCTACGGTGTCAAGCTGGTAACCGGAAATACCTAGAATCCGTTGCTTGCTTTGCCATGGCGAGGCGGAGTGCCGAGTGCGAGCGCCTAAACTTGCGGCCCGCTATCAGGGCCCATTTGCCACTCGACTACACACCCCACTTGAAGAAGGTGGGCGGTTCGGCCCAGAACAGCAACCCCTCCTCCGCACTCGGCCCGGTGTGGACACAGCCGCCGCCGGCAGTTCGCCGCCTTTGCCCTGCTGCGAGCCTGCGAGCAAAGGGCCCTCTCACCCAACCATCGCCGCCGCACGTCCGAGTGGACGCTTGGGGGCTCCGCCGACGGCGCCGCGGTACGTGCCTCCGCCTCTGCTTCCATCAAAGGTAGGGGCAGCGGCTGCTGCCAGTCGAGACTTGAGAGGCCGAGGAAGGTCCGAGCATCGGGAGATCTTCGGGGTAAGACAGCGCGGTTCTTTTTGTTTGTATATCCTAGCGTAGTTGGTTCCTCAATCTATTAGATATAGAATGCTCCGCATGATACATTTAAATCGGGAATTCATATTGAACGCTAGTGAGCATGTGTATTCGATCACTGTGACAATAATTTTTCTCTGTCTGGCGATATGGGTATTAGCTAATCTTGTTCTAGGAAGAGGTTTCTGATTGACGAGAGAGCTATTTGAGCACTTGGGTTGCCTCGTTGGACTGATAGCCACAATGGCATGGCAGTGGAGCATTTCATGTTTTCCCAGCATTTTCAAGCAGCAAAACACTTGAGCTGACAAGCTCTCTTGCATAAGCTTCTAGCGCCTTCCTGTCTGGGGACTGGCCGGGGAGGTTTGCTAGAGAACTTCTGTATTTTTGTTCATTTATTTCTTCTGTTATATCTCATCAGCTCTCCTGCCATCAGTTATTATTAGAAAAAACATCTTGCTTGTTCCAACATCAAACTTTAAAGCTATATGTCTCCATTACTGCAGATTCTTTTATCTTTCAGTCTCTTTTGGGTGCATGAATGGAACTTTGGTGACCAAGCTTTGATAGTGTGGTACACAATACAATATCTTTCCTTTCTTTGTCATAAATGTATTTACTTTTCTTTTAAAATTAAAACTGGTGTGGTTGTCAACTTTATGCTCACGATGCATTTATCAGCTTACTCGCTATTATTAGCTTTGGTTAGGCTTGTTCAGACCTCACATTTGTCTGTGTTTTGCCTATTCCCAGATGTGAAGGATTAAAGTTCGTGTGAAAGATTCTGACTACAATTGATATCAAGCGGTTGCTTTCTTATTTCTCATATGTTCAACCATGCTCCTCCATGCTAAGGAGTCAGTTAGGAAGATGCATTCAGTTGCTAAGAACTACTTTGGTACCGTTCTAGCTTTCACTTTTTAAATCCACTACCATGCAATAAAAAACAGCTAAGCCTCTAATGGTCTAACTCATCCCTTCCTGTTTTTTTGACAGTGTCTGATCTTACTCATCCTCCAAGATCCTTGAACAGAGCTTCCAGACATATTGTTCCATTCAAGGCCCGTTTGTTTACGCAATGCTCACTTGAGGCCCGTTCAGTTGACCAAGAGATTGTGATTGCTATGGGAAGTAATGTGGGTGATAGAGTCAGTACATTCAACAGGGCATTGCAGCTGATGAAAAGCTCAGGCGTGAACATCACTAGGCATGCCTGTCTCTATGAGACTGCCCCTGCTTATGTGACTGATCAGCCGCGGTTTCTTAACTCTGCCATTCGGGGCACAACTAGGCTCGGGCCACATGAGCTTCTTAAAATGCTAAAGGAAATTGAGAAGGATATTGGCCGCACTGGTGGAATAAGGTATGGCCCGAGACCTATCGATCTAGACATACTTCTTTATGGCAACTCCCAGATCCATAGTGAGACTCTAATTGTGCCACATGAGCGCATCCATGAGAGGTCATTTGTTTTAGCACCTCTTGTTGATCTTCTAGGTGCATCCGGCGACGACGCTATCGAAACAAGTTGGCACTCTCTCTCAAAGTGCAGTGGAGGTTTTTTTGAATTATGGAATAAACTTGGGGGTGAATCTATAATTGGAACAGAAAGTATTAAAAGGGTATTACCTGTTGGGGATTGTTTGTTGGATTGGTGCGAGAGGACCCTTGTCATGGGGGTCCTTAATTTGACACCAGACAGCTTTAGTGATGGAGGTAAGTTTCAACAAGTGGAAGCTGCCATTTCTCAGGCTAAGTTATTAATCTCTGAAGGTGCAGCTATCATTGATATTGGTGCTCAATCTACCAGGCCCTTTGCAAAGAGATTATCTCCAAACGAGGAGCTTGAGAGGTTGATTCCTGTTCTAGATGAGATTACAAAAATTCCTGAGATGGAGGGCAAGTTACTCTCAGTGGATACATTCTATGCAGAAGTTGCCAATGAAGCTGTGAAAAGAGGAGCTCACATGATCAACGATGTATCCGCTGGACAGCTTGATCCAATAATTCTTAAAGTTGCAGCTGAACTGGGAGTTCCATATGTTGCAATGCACATGAGAGGAGATCCGTCAACTATGCAAAGCGAACAAAATTTACACTATGATAATGTCTGCAAGGAAGTTGCTTTGGAGCTATACACACGGGTGAGAGAAGCAGAGTTATCTGGGATTCCATTGTGGAGGCTAGTTCTTGATCCTGGCATTGGCTTCTCCAAGAAATCTGGACATAACCTTGAAGTAATTATGGGATTGGAATCCATTAGGAGGGAGATGGGTAAAATGAGTATAGGTGCTTCACATGTGCCAATATTATTGGGGCCTTCAAGGAAAAGATTTTTGGGTGAAATATGCAATCGTGCTAATCCAGTTGAGAGAGATGTTGCTACTGTTGCAGCTGTGACAGCTGGGATTTTGAATGGTGCTAACATAGTAAGGGTCCATAATGCTGGATATGGTGCAGATGCTGCAAAGGTTTGTGATGCATTGCGTAAGGGAAGAAGTTGCAAAAACTGAACTATCAGATCAAACAGATACCTAACTCCAGTTTTATACAAGAAAAAGGTGATGTCAGATAGTTACTCTGCTGCTAAATGGGATTGTCATATTACACCATTTGTGAAGTATCGTTGCTGCAATGAACCAGAGATAATGCTTTTTCTTGTGTCACCAAGGAATAAGGTCACAGAAGCTGCTAGTGAAGTTGCAGATACTTATCCTTCAGGATTTGAAATTGTCAAGTTCTACTAGTCTGGTTTGTTTGTATCTTTTCTAGTTCAGACATATTTGATTAATTGAGCTTATACCAGATTTCCTACTTCTCCCTGTAGCTTCATCTTTTGTACCTTGATGTACCCAATAAGGAAGCCTCATATATAACAAATGCCATATGATACGCAAAGTCTCAACATTTGTTCTATGATTTAACTTTTTCTCTGAGGGTTTATCATCCACTTATAACACCTACTGTTTGTTGCTAAATATTTTTTAGGCACCTCCCATGTAGGTTTATTTTCATTCTGAACTGCTGTTATTTGCATTTCTCACTTTTAGCAATCTTGCTGTCTTTATCCATTGAAGGAATTTCAAGAACTTTAAGTGCAGTTGACTAAACTGTCATCAATATGGATATTCCCCAGTGATGTGATGTGAACACTCGGCCTCTTATCCTGTTCTCTATCATATATTCCAGTTATGACCTCCCCAGGTCAGTACTTCCCCTGCAGCATTTCTCACCTCTTATTTTCCTTATCCCTTCTTTTGAAAGTACTAGATATATTTTACATTAAAAAAAAGTACTAGACATATTCCTTCATGATGAAATGAAATTAAGTACTAACGTCTTACAATTTGGAACGGGGGGAGTAACTTGTTGTGCTATCAGTTTATCAAAGAATTCTACTTTCTTGACTGAACTTATTATAGCTGTACATTACTTCAGGACATGTACTGGATGCTAGATTAACTCATTCTTATGCTCCAAAGAAAAACGAAAATGACATCAAGATTACATCATTCTGGAATTCTGCACAGCGAAATGCATTAGAATAGCACCAGTGTTTGCTACTCATAAAAGTAGACTTATATGTTTTCAATCAATAATACAATGAGGCTTATGTTCTGATAAACTCCTTGACATGGTTCTGTTCTACTGCACTTTATGTGATACAAATCAGATGTGAAATGCCTATGCCTGTCATGCTACTAGTTGTTAGACAGGACAAAAAGTTACTTGGTCAGGAAACACCGGAACGGGAACACCTGTGCCACTTCCTTGTAATACGCACAGGACCACAGCTTTATAGATTCTTCTCTGAGACGATAGAGAAGCATGAAGGACATGCATAGTGAAAATAGTGGTGATTGCCAGGAAAATCATCTCATTCTCCCACTATGTACACGTTAAGCATCTTATTGTTCCCTTTCCATTACTACATCACATAAACCCAATATTTAAATCTTACAACTACACAGTGACCATTAATTCGTACATAGGCCAAATTAAGCCTACATGATGATCTGTCTCTGCACTAGCTATGCAACCTTCTTTGGCATCAATGCAAGGTCTCTGCAGAAACGAATTAATTCCTTGAGCAGATTGCAGCATATGGGTCTCATCTCACGCTATGTTGCATGCGTTTGGGTTCTCATCGCTGAAGATGGTAGTGATCTGCCTGTCATCTCCTTTTCCCCTTGCTGGGTAGTACTCTGCAGGGAGGTAGTACCTTCCTTCCTGAACTGGAAAGCCACCATAGCCGCTGCCATACTCGGCTACGTAACTGTGCGTCGTCGCATTCGCATGGTAAGGTGATGCTTCGTACCTGACGCCGTGCATGTCCATGGGGTGCTTCGCCCTCACCCAGTGCTCACTGTGCATGCGGTGGCTACCATGGCCGTACCCATACGGGTAGTCATGTACTGTGCGTACCACGGTGGCATCCCTAGCCACCGGGGTTTCTGCCGGCTTTGCCTCCTTGTTCTCCGGCGCGGGCGCCTCAGCTGGTGCGGCCTCCTCTGCTGCTGCTGGAGGAGCGGCGTCGGCTGCTAGTGGTTCGGCGGGAGGTGATGAAGCCGCCTGGGCCGCCCCTTCGGCTTCGCCGTCGGCAGGGGGAGGCGGCTGAGCCTCGACTGCCGCTGCGGCGCCGGAGTCGGTGTGAGAGAAGATGGTGGGGATCCTCTTGGTCTTCCTGATGGCCTTGACGAGGCTCTCAGGATCGGCCATCCCCACCACTGTGATCTTGTGGGTAGCTTGATCTATATATACTTCGCTAACACCTGTACAGCACAGGTCCATTCCATTATTAACTTGCAAGATGTCATGTAATGCTCTTGTTAGAGTATCATATCAATATCATGCTTGTCACCAGTCGAGCTGGATATCTTAATGATGAGTCGATGGAATCAAATAAAAGAAACTGTTAGGTTTCAGGTTAGAATTGGCTTGACCATCAATGGCACTCAGGGTCTTCCTGATCTTGTTCCCGCAGCCATTGCAGTCCATCCTTACATGGAGCTCCGTTATTCGTTGTGTCTGCAGGTTTACGCAAGTAGATTAGTACAGCCACCATGCAAAAAACAAAAATGCAACAAGAGCTTGAGTTATGGATATTCCACAAACCTCCAGTTCTGTAGTCATGATTGAAGCTCTGACTAGTAGAGCTGGTTTCGGGCTTGAAGCTACAAAGAGTTCGAGCTAGCAGGGAATGAACTCTTGTTAAGACCTTAGCACAGGGCAGGTTGGAGTTGGAGTCACTGACCATGCAATGCGTTGCATTTTATATCGCATTGCTTGTGCGGCGCCGGGGGTGGTTTTGGGATGGAATATTTACTGGTCGATTTGTGTGGGTCACCCAAAGAATATCATTGGAAAGCGAAAAGAGAGTCCCCTAGCTAGATGGCTCCATCTTGGCATGAGCTCCGTTTCTTTTCCATGGAGTCAGAGTCACATGCAAGTGGCCTTTCTGAGTTGCTTACAATTACAAGTGGCTCAGACAATTCTACTGTGCCACACCTTGGTTTTTATCTGTCATCCACCACTGTATAGAGTGTTTGGTCTTTTTTCTGTGCATGTCTCTTATTGTGTTGTATTTTTATTTTCCTGTTGTCCAAAGTTCTGGCTACATTCCTCGCTTCATGTTTGCACTTTGGAATAGCACTACAGCAGTGCAGCATCAGTTTGTAGTGGAATCAAGCTCAAAGCACTCGGCCTCAACAGATGCTTCGTATGCGATTGGCTCTTCCATCCTCAACTTTAGGGCACGTTTAGATCTAAAATTTTTTTGGGTTTTAGCTACTGTAGTACTTTCGTTTGTATTTGACAATTAATGTCTAATTATGGACTAATTAGGTTCGAAAGCTTCGTCTCGCGATTTCTCATCTAAGTGTGCAATTAGTTTTTTTTTGTCTACATTTAGTACTTCATGCATGTGCCGCAAGATTCGATGTGATAGATACTGCGCAAAAAAATTTGGGTTTTGGGGGGAACTAAACAGGCCCTTAGGATTCCATTTTCTTCATTATTCTCCATTTTGGAGCCGGCTTTGGTTAAAATTTTGGCATTCTCTGATTGGAGTGCTGATGAGAATATCCCTTAGCCGGCCAGAGAGAAGATAGAAGGATGAAAAGATGATAGATATGGAGGCTCCTTTGGTCAAAAGAGAAGCTCTTTTGAGAGGGGGAGGATATCCACTCCTAGTGAACCCTCTCAGGTAAAGGAAAGTATTTATGTTTGCGCAGCCTTGATTATATCTCATCTATCTATATTCTTATCTGCTATTTACACAACACGGAAATTTTGTGGTTTTCTGTGCTCTAGTTCTTGTAGATTCTTTGCCAGTTGGATGCCAACATCTGTTAGATTATTGAAGGCAAGTGCGATGTTGTTTTTATATAATCAGAGCAAAGACAGATAGTCAATCAGCCAGTAATACTAAAAATAAATAAATGATACTTCGGAAATTGCAATAATCTCCAAACCATGATTTATAGTATTATTATCAGTTTAAATTGTATCTAGTGATACTAATTTTGTGTCAAACTTAGTTAAATTTAAAAGGTTCAGGACTTGCGCATTTTATAAGAAACAAAGCTTTCAGGCCTAAAAGCTGTTTCTCGTGAGATAAGCTGCTTTAATTATTGGCCACATGTTTCTTATACGGATAGGCCGGCAAAGATGAACGACTATTGCCGAGAATGCTGACGGCATGCACTGCTATCAGGAGATGAGGCCTGACTGTGTTTATTCTTGGATTGAGCTCTTCACCAGATCAGTCACTTTTGTGCCTTCTTTTTCATGTCGCGAAGAATATTTCATCTTTGGTGTCAACGCCATGGTTATACTTAAGTTTCTGTCACCGGAGGCCGGGCTCTACTATTGAAATGGGCCTTTTCTATCGGTTTGGTACGTAGCGCAAAGGCAAAAGAGTGTAGCTTATATCTGTGCACTGTACACCCACACAAAAATTCCCCTAGTTCTGCAAAAAGTTGTGCTACTTTGAGCCTTCTATATTTCCATCACATTTTTTTGTCATCTGTAAGGTTTTTGGTGATCATTATTACTCTTTGAGACGTAACAGAAAATTCACAGACTGCTTGTTGCATGAAATTGTGTTCCTATGGCTTTCGGGTGTAGTTCATGCTATTGTTTGCTTACTTATATTTGACCTTTGGAGTTCCCAATATTAGTTGCAAGAAGTCAGAATTAATGGCTATGTTGTTAGTAAGACTTATGCCTTTCTACAGGGTTCAAGAACTTGTTGCATTTTCGCTAATATATTGATGACGCAAACTCAAACAGACGATAGGTCACGCGTTCATGCACTCGCGCGACCCATCCGTGCCCCGCTGGAGAGGAAGAAGAAGAGTCGACCGGCCGAGGTTAGGGTTTCGGGAGGAGATTCACTCACCTTTTGGTGTAGAGAGGGTTTGGGGGCGGTGGTCGTGACTTGGCGGTGGCGGTGGGCGAGACGGTGGCGGGGCGGGGCGGTGGGGGCGCCACTTGCCAGGACGGTGGAAGACAGCAGTTGGGCGAGACTGGCGTTAGGGCGTCCCAGGGGAGTATTCGCAACTGCCTTGTGATAAAGGGAGGGCGGGGTTGAGAGAGCAGCGACGGGAGGTGGGTGGCGTGGCAAGGCGACGTGAGGGGTCGCATCATGGGATATCTTCGTCCTTTAATTAGATGGGACCTTTGCAGTCCTCACTTAGATATTACCGTGGGTATATCCTATTTGCTGTTTGGGCGTGTGATTTATTTTGTATTGTTCAGCGAACCCACACATACCTCTAAATATATTCGTATATTATATATAACCTCTAAGAGGATAGACCCCTAAATTCGAAATGAAGCTACGTGGAGACATATGATGATTTTTTATTACTTTAAGACGTGGCACACGATGATTTCTTGTATACACAATACAATACAATGTGTCACTACCGTGTGTGGGATGGAACGTACCAACTACCAAGACGGACACTGGGTCACTGGCGACGACGACGTGACGCAGATCTTTTGTCCGCGTGTTTCAGGGCTTTCAGGTGTGTACGTGCACGCTGTTGGCATGGTGCTCACTGGATGACCACGTGCCGGCGACGTTTGCTTCATAGGCTGACGATAGTTTTGGCCGTCGCGCGCCGAACCATGAGAGGCATCTTTCATCTTTTGTGGGCAGTGGGCAGTGGGTACCGTACCGCTCTCGCCGGCCCGCGGCCGAAAGTCACCCACCACCGCTAGGCGCTAGCTGCAGATGTGCCGCAGCCGCAACTCTCGATCAAGATATCTATATTGATGTGCAGCTTGGGACAAGGGAATCACCAATGCGGCCATGCACATAGCTATCATTGCCTATTTCATTCATTGAATTCGCTTGTCTACTCTACATCACCCTAGTGCTCATAATCCGCACTAAATTTTAGACCATGAGATCGCGTTTAGATCATCAGCTAAAGTTAAAACTAATTCTAATTCAATAAAAAAGACTTGTGTTGGTCTCTCATCTCTCCTCTGTCTAACTCCATCTTCTTTGCTCTCTCTTCTTGCTGTGTGATCGGCGGCGGCAAGCCCAACCGTGTGAGGGCGCGTGAGGTGGCGAGCCCGGCTGGGCAGGCAGGAACAAGCGGGGTAGCAACAACACCCTCCTCTTGCAGCGCCTCTCATCATCGACAGCCTAGCCCGTGGCACGGTCTTGTGCCTCAATGGCACCGAAGCTACCCTCCCTGAGCGCCTGCATCACCTCGCAGTCCGCCGTGTTTTAAAATGGTGGGGAAGACTGGGTGCGACAGTGGATGGGTACAATGGAGATGGGTGAGGAGGCGCAACGGCGGTGCGCGATAGGCGTGCGGTGGTAGTGGGGGATTGGGCATGCGACGCCAGTGGAGAAGATGTGTGGCGGCGGAGGATTATGCAAGGGCAAACTTGTCCTTTGGAGAAGATGTGTGGAGAAGATTTTAGTGGTTAAACTTTAGATAAGCATCAAAGTATGACATAAATTTGTTCTTTTTGTAGTGGGGGTAAAATACCATAACACCTTAAAATTTACTCCTTTTTAAAATAGATGAAAAATGATTTGAATTTGCATTTTGTGCCATGAAATATAGGAAAAATAATATTTTTTATTAAATTAAAATTTATCATAAGGTTTAGTAACTTGTTTGTGCATACATACTGGTGCATTGGATTTATTATAATATGTGACTTTGAACAAAGTTTAAAAAGATTTCAAATATTTTTGAAATGACTTGAAAAGGGCTTTTGATTTTTTTTGAAAACTCACTCTCCCTTTCGGCCGGTAGCCCAGCCAGCTAGGGCCTCTCCCGCTTTCCCCTCTCCCTTGGCGTCAGCCCAGCTGCTTCCGGCCCAGCCAAAGCAGAAGCCCGCACGCTGCTTCCCTTCTCTCCCTCTCTGTGTATGACCAACCCCGCACATTCTCTCGCTGACGAGGCGGCCCCACAAGTCAGCCGCACCCCTTCTCCTTCCTCTTACCGTGCCGGACTCTGTTCCGTCGGCACAGAATCCGCCGCCGCCCCGATCTTCTCGGGATTTGGCATGTGCCCCACGCCGCTCCGCCCCTTAAATAGCAAGCCCCTGCGTCCGTACCACCGTACCTTAGTCCTAGCACAAGCCGCCGCCTCCACCCGAGCTCGCAGCACCCCACTTCTGGATCTCGCCGAGTCGCCATCGCTGCTACCGTCGCTGGGATCCTCTCTCGCCATCCGTGACCCGTTGCCGAGCTCCGTGTCGAGGTTGCAAACTTCCCATAGCTCTCTATCTCTCTCTTTCTCCCTCTGTTGCTCACGCACCAACGCCGAACTTGCAGGAGACCTCGATGCCACCCCACCGAGCCCTACATCGTCGCTGGACGTTCTGCGCCGTCGTAAACACCCTAGGTGAGTTCGCCTTGGTCCCCACTTCCACCCCATGCTTTCTCCGCGTTGAATCGTGGACTCTAGGGCCCTCTTCGCGCTCACCAGCGAGCTCCTCGCCGCCATCAATGGAGCTCCGCCACTCCTGGCACTGTTCTGGCCGACCGACTCTTCTCTCTCCCTCCCTTCTTCTAATCTGGATCGTCCATCTTTGATCCAACGGCCCAGATTAGAAGATACCCCTTCGCTTAGCTTATTTGCTAAAGAGCCCCTGTAATTTTCTTATTTCAACCCGCAGTCCATAACGTATACTTACAAATATGTTTTCTCTTTCTGAAAGCGTAGTTTCCTTCGGTTAGATTCAAAATACGTTTTCATCTATTTACAATTTTGCCACTAGTCTTATTTTAAGCATAACTTCTACGTTTTAGCTCCGTTTTGACCCGTTCAAGTTGCGTTAGATTCATAATTACGTAATCTACATGTTCATCCTACTGTTGAACATGTTTTCAACTTTTAAATTCAAGGTTAGGATTAATCTATTATTTTATTCAAGAAAATCTTGATTAATTTATAACTCCTTTGTTATAGCTCTGATTTTCGTGATCTTCGCATCTGTGTGTTCGTAGCGAGACGTAGATTCTTTTTACAAACTTTTTATCTTGATTTTATGGTTGGTGTACTGTTCTAATTTATTTTTATTGTTTGCTTCGTGTACGATTGCATGGATGCTTGTGTGGTGCTTTATGGTCTTGTCCAGTCGGTGAGAAGTACGTTGGTGATCCAGAAAAAATCCTTTGAAGGTTATAATTCAGTAGAAGAAGGATCTGAGTTTAAAGCAAGTATAGCATGGGATCTTCCTTGTTGTCCTATTCACTTTAATAATCTACCTTGGCAACCGTAGTAAATTTTTCTAGCTATTTGATTTCTTGAATTCCTTGTCACCTATGGGGTATTGCATTGGGTAGTATGATGCTAGTGCTCAACTAAAGCCATGATCTTGTAACTTGACTAATGGAATATGCAATAAACACTAAAAGATGCTTTTTAGCAACATGGAACAAGAGGGCTAGAGCATTGGGCTGTTATTATGGTGCTCTAGATTCCTCTTCCTAATGACTTATCTGTAAGTGATCACCCGGGACTTACAGTACAACTATGAGGGTCACATGGCTCTGGCTTTAGTCAAGTATGAGGATCTTTTCTAGCTTGTTAGTAGTTACCTTTATGGCGTAAGAGGGGCTCCGACAGATATGACCTTTGCCTGCCAGGTTGAGTGCATTTTGGTTTCTTGACCTTTTGTCAGTCACTCCTTGGAGAGGAGTTCATGTTTATTGATGGGGAAACCTAGCGGCCATAACTTGTTAAACAAACCTTTGAAAAGGCTTCATATTGAACCCTGTCGACCTTCCTAGGTAGTGGGTCAAAAGGCTGATCACCTCGGGCGAAAGGATAAATCACGACTCACAGTGAAAGTGTACAACCTCTACAGAGTGTAAAATTGTTATATCAGCCGTGCTCACGGTCACGAGCGGCCTTAGAACTCTTATGGAATAGATGATGAACATTAATGATATTGATGATATAGATGCTCACTAATGATTACTCTTTATACTATTCATTATTCATATTTACCTGATCATGTGTTTATACTGGCTTTATGATAAATTTGATGCTACTCAACTGTTTAAAATCATGACTCATTAAAAGCTAATCGCAGTTAAACCAGTGTCAGCCTTTTGAGCCTCATGACCCCCATGTTATATTTGTTGAGTACGACATGTACTTACGCTTGCTTTACTTTTTTTTAATACTTTAGAAAAATCCCGGATGTGTACCAGATTGCTAGAGTTTGAAGAAGTTAGGTTTATGATCAACCAGTCAGTTGTCCCTATGGAGTTGGAGTCTTCACCTGAAGATCGGAGTTGTCTTACCGCTGTTTGTTGTTTAAGGTTATATCCTTTATACTAAGTACGTTATATTAAGCACTGCCTTTTGATATTACCCCTTATTTGTAGCTATATGTGAGATTTGACTTTCTGGGCTCACATATGATGCGCATCTGGTTTTGTTCTTCAAACCGGGTGCTACAAATACCCCGAGCTCTCTTTGAACTCAAAACTTTCTTTTGAATCAAAAATGAATTTATCAAATCCAGTATCTGGAGCCATCATTAGCGTCGTCAGGCTGGTTTAAGAAGCGAAATGCCATTTTCTAATAGCATCTCAAGAGTTTCAAAAATTCACTCCTAATATAGATGTTTTGGCAAGATTGAAAAAACTGTTGTCCAACAATTTCCCGTCTCAACTCCTAATCTTTTCGCACTTGGGGAACTCGATCTAGTCGCACATTTATATATGTGCGCGTATCCAATGGCCAATCTAAAGGTGGAATGACATGGGAAAGAATAAAAGTAGGATAGGGTCCCTAATGCAAATATATAAGAGAGAAAGATTTCCGGGATTCCTGATGTAAAATTGTCCCCTATATTTTAGAACCGATATATTGGAAATTGTTGGATTGAACCCAATAGATATGCTTTCAACTTTTTTAGCTACTTGAAAAACTTATTGATTTACTGATTGTTTTTTTAAACTATTACACATGCTCTAATGTAAAGAAAAAAGAAGGGGGAGCGAAATGCATATTGACGTGAAAAGGTTGCAGCACAGATCCAGAGTAACTTATAGCAGAAAGCAAAGCTGCTGGCCCATCTATCTATCTGAAAGAGGAGTTCATGGGCCGATGGAACTCACAGCACATAGGCGGCAGGCCAGGCCGTCTCATTGGGGCCTGAATGAAAAGTTAAATACTCCTAAAACTGGTTCGTAGCGAGTCCCGTTAACATTCTTTTTTTCCTTCCTGACCAAAAAAATCACAGACATGAGAAATTAACTGTCAAAAACTCCACGGTTCAGTATCAAGTCTCCAGGTAGCACAAGGTAAACGACGAAGCTTGTTGTACCCTTGATGTAAAAGAAAAAAGGCTTAAAAATGTAGTGTGAAACAGGGAAGATCAGCAGCTAGCTCAAGTGCAGACAGGATCTTGCGCTTTTCGGACCTAGAAGATTAGGAGAAAATAATCAAGCTCCACCCTGCCAATCAGCTATGCCACGCATCTCCGCTCCGTGGAACATGCATGCATTGCTGCAAACTTTGGCGGCACCTTTTCTCCTTCCCTTTTTCTTTGCTTCGTCACACATCCCTCTCTCGAGAGCCTCGATACCTTGAAACTGCAAAGAAATCCATGGAGCTCCCAGCCAGAAAACAAACAAAGGTGCTTTCGAATACCTTTTCCTTATCATCATCACTTATACACGTAGTATGCACCTTTTTAAAAGCCACTGTACTAGCAACGTTTTTTTTTCTTTTTTTTTTTTGCGTGTACTACAGCTGAAGGAACACCGTGCAAGCTAGTAGGCTGGTGGTGCATGGGCATGGCCAGCACAAGTTGGCGTGTGTTCCTCTAGATCTACAACGTTTAATTAGATAACAACAGTGCGCTACAAGTATTTTATTTCCATGGCCGCCACTGCATTTGCATTTGCACAGCACACGGAGACGGATGGAGGTGGTGGACCTCTCTTGAAATTGCTTGCAATTGCTACGCTTTGGATGCTTGCTGGCTCGCGCGTCTCGAGGCTCTCTGGCAAAGTGAGTAGGCAAGCAGATTATTGTGTCTTCCACTTCCATTTTCTTCCTCCGTGGCTGTGGGAGCAGACATTTCGCTCCGCCACGTATTTATATATTTATTTATATGATTTCTTGGCCACAGCGATCTACCAACCTCACGATGAAAATACAAGTTGTTTAGAATAGAGCGGGTGGTAAAAATAGGCACCGGAGTTACGTGCACAATACTGTCGGTGTCGGTGGACGAGTATAAGATACTCCTATGTGCTGTGCATGGTCCAAAACCCCAGTGGCCAAACTGAACAAGAAAGAGATCGAGAGAGGTGGGAGTAAAGAAAGGAAGCGCATTTTTGCTTGTGACGAGGTAGAAAATGTTGCCACCCAGACCCAGCCAGGCGCCATCACATTCACTGATTCACAGGACGGGCGGCGTACTGCTGGCAGCGCCGCCCGCGGATCAGAGTACACTCAGAATCTGATGCAACACATCCCAGAGCAAGAGCAATCAGCAGCGAGCGGCCGGGCTGCACGCCTATACTGAAACTGGCCAAACCATCTTCGTTACTGAAACTGATGAACAAACTCCATTCTTTCTTCGGCATGAACCATGAACAGTTCGATTCGATCTTTCTGGTGAAAGAGTATGCTAGCGTTATTATTATATTATTATATTATATTGTACAGTCTTTTTACTACTAGAAGATTAATCTGTTAATATACCGACCGACACATACAAATCCCAAAGAAAGAAGAAGAAGAGGAGGAGGAAATATAATTAATAGTATAAAATTACAATTACAATTTACTGCTAGAATACACAGGCCACCAAATTGAATCGCCAGTTGCATTGGATCACCCACCTCTAGTACTGTAGTAAGTGAAAAAAGAAACAGCGCATGCATTGACGCACTCACTCTGCAGATCTAGATCCCTCGCGGTGTCTACCACAGCAGAAGCAGCAGCATGCTGGTGAGGAGCAGCGTCGCCGCGGACGACGACGAGGCAGCCGTCGTCACGGCCCACGCGCCGGATGAGTGCAACGACGACGGCGGCGGGTTGTAGAAGTAGAAGGGGAAGTAGGGCAGGAACGGGTTGGGCGGGGGCGGCGCCGGGTACATACCGCCCTGCTGCGACCCGCCGCCTCCGCCGCCGCTGGACCCAGCAGACCCGCCGGTGGGCGGCGGGTAGTAGAAGCCTCCGCCTCCGCCTCCAACGCCGCCGCCGCCGCCGGAAGCAGCAGGAGGCGGCGGGGACGAGTAGATGATGGGGCCTCCTCCTCCTCCGCCGCCGGAGGGGGTAGGATAGGACGGCGTGGTGGGCGGGCAGGGCGTGGCGACCGGCGCCGGGGGAGGGGACGGGGGCGGGTAGTAGGACGGGTTGCAGGGGTTGTCGCAGGACGCGCACAGGGTGCAGGTCGTGCCGTCCTTGAGCACGATGGTGGCCGGCGCCGGGTCGGCACTGCCGAAGCCGCCGAGGCCGGCGGCGAGGAGGATCGGGAGGAGGAGGAGAGCTGCCATGACTGATAGGGACGGGAGTGGGAGTGAGAGCGTGTGCAGTGTTTCCCAACGATGGTGGGGTACTTAATTTGTAAGGGAAGCAAGAAGAAGGAAGGTGGCGTGGTTGGCGGCCTGGATTAGTTTATTTTAGTCGTCTCGTCCCGCCACTTGGTCGCTTTCGCCGGACTTTTTGCGTGCGTAAATAAACGAAAACAATTGCGTCTTTTTGGGTGTGTGTACGCGCCGCATCAGTGGAGTGCAGGCCGGACGGTACCTTGCACGGTGCCACTTGCCAGGCAGCAGATGAGGCTCGCCGAAGCTGCGTCGGCAGTTCATTACAGGAGCCACATATTATTGTCGTGGGAGAATTGAGGACAACACACATGGACGACTGACGTGAAGATCGGTTCTTCGCAATTTCAACGCGTGCTGTAAGCTACCCCTGCTACAAAATTATAATTATACATAGATAGATTCAAAATAAGGATCATTAATTATAGAAAATAACGCCGATGGGCATGGGCTGCTGGGCTGAGGAGGTCAGTTGGAGTGGCTTGCATGGTAGGAGTCTATGGTTGGATATCGAGTCAGGTCGGCTCGTTATATCTCGGCTCGTTATGCAAACGAACCAGAAGACTGTTCGGAAGACAGTAAACGATCGTGGATTATTTACTGCTGGCTGGTTTGGTGTGAGAGAAAAATACTGTTCTGGCTGGAAATTTACGATTGTTTACGACCAAGCGAACAGGCTAATAGCTCGTCTCGGCTCGTTAGCGAGCTCAAGCTAGCTCGTTTGGCTCGCGAGTCAAAGCACAAAACACAGTACATAGAGATTATAGCCGCAAGTTAACAACAAACACGTCACATGCATATTTCAAATGGAACAAACAAAATACATATGAATTTTGGACTCGTTTTGCATGAACATGATAACGTGGGGTAGGCCGGTGGGTGACTAGGTGGAGCCATGGGGTCTATTGATCTACAGTTTTAGTGTTTAATCATGTTGGACCATAGGTAGAGGGATATATGAACTGCTTAAAGTTGCATTGGGCTGGGCTGAGGGATATATGGACCAATTGTAGTTGTTGTCATGTAAATTACCTTAGCTCGTTTTAGCTCGTGAGCGGCTCGCGAGCTGGCTTATTAATTAATCGAGCTGGCTCGAGTTAGCTTGCTAATTAAAAATTCAAATGAGCCGAGCTTGAGCCGGACCACTAATGAGCTAGTCGAGCGAGCTAGTGAGTTACAAGGTAGGAGTCGGTTTATGGTTGGACCATGGAGCACCAGCCTTAGGGACCATAGTAACCACTAGAGGAGGCAGAGAAAGAAAAACAGAAGATGACCCAGATCTATCTAGAATGTTGGGTCCTAATCCGAACAATTAGGTGACTGGGCTTTAGCATCATCCTAAATAAACGCTTTTACCTTCAAAAGATTGCCACCTCCAATTAGATACTAAAACCAATTACTTTAGTTGACGGAGTGATTCCCTTAGGGTACTAGCTCTCGTTAGGGGCATTTTAGAACGAAGGAATTTTTCTTCAATCCTATGTTTGCTTATGAAATTGAACCGCCTGTATAAATTTTTGTATGATTTCTGCGTGCCAAAGGTAATAGTCAATCACATTGTGCCTAGAACATTCGTGTCGAGAACCAATACTAGGGTACCCGAAGAGGAGGAGCTAATAATCATCAACATTGATTCATCCGAGCAGTTAAGAGCGCAACTACAGCTCCAACCGACCCCCAGGCGCGCAAGCTCCGCCTCGCCTGGGGGGAGGGCTCCGCCTCGCCAGTCCCTGAGGCCACGGGCTCCGCCTCGCCCGACCCTTGGGTTCGCACTCCGCCTCGCCCGGCCTCTGGGGGACAGCTCCGCCTTGCCTGACCCTGAGGCCGCGGGGTTCGCCTCGCCCGACCCAAAGGCCACAGGCTCCGCCTCGCCCGACCCTTGGGTTCGCGCTCCGCTCGCCCGACCTCTGGGGCAGGGCTCCACCTTGCCCGACCCTGAGGTTGCGGGCTCCGCCTCCCCCGACCCTTGGGTTCACGCTCCGCCTTGCCCGGCCTCTGGGGGAGAGATCCGCCTCGCCCGACCCTGAGGCCATGGGCTCCGCCTCGCCCGACCCCGAGGCCGTGGGCTCCGCCTCGCCTGACCCTTGGGTTCGCGCTCCGCCTCGCCCGGCCTCTTGGGGAGGGCTTCGCCTGGCCCGACCCTGAGGCCGCAGGCTCCGCCTCGCCCGACCCCAAGGCCACGGGCTTCGCCTCGCCCGACCCTTGGGTTCGTGCTCTACCTCGCCCGACCCTCAGGTCGCGGGCTCCGTCTCGTCCGACGGAGACCCATATCATCGCCAACCACTCTAGGTCCAAACATATGGGCCTGGATCAAGACTCTGACGCCAAGGAAGAGACCGGCACGCCCTAATGTAACCCGTGGCCAGGACAGAGTGGAGCGCCGTGACCGGCCGACGACACCTGCGCATGGCGCCAGTGACGGACAAGACCGTGATGTGGCGCCGTCCCTATTGACATCTACAGTGTCAGCAGGACCCGCATGAAAGAGAAGAAGGACCTGGCGACCCTAAGGGCCTTCGGCCCTCTCTCTCATTCTTCTCTTTCCCTCCGCTATAACCCGTGCCTTCTCTTGGCCTATAAAAGGGAAAGCAGGGCGCCCCATTAAAGGGCATCGCATCGATTCAGTCCAAATCTGATCGAATCACCCCGAACCAATCAGAACACGATACGAGCATTCGGCTGAGCAGCAACCGAGCTCTCAGCACCCGTTCATTCTTTTCACCAGAGACTTGGGACCCGTTCCTCTCTCGCCCGTTTGCAACCCCTACTACAAACTTTTGGTGCTAGTAACACGAGCAGCAACAACGAACTAGACGTAGGGATATTCTGCCCGAACCAGTATAAACCTCGTGTCCTCTTAGCACACCATTCGAGCTAGACGCGCAATATTAGAAATTTACTCATTGGTGATAACTCAAAACACCGACCGTTGGTGCGCCAGGTAGGGGCTTTTTGCGCGTCTCGACATCCACACCAGGCCTCCGCCGCTGCTGGACCCAGCAGACCCACTGGTGGGCGGCGGGTAGTAGAAGCCTTCGCCTCCAACGCCGCCACCGCCGCCGGAAGCAGCAGGAGGCGGTGGGGATGAGTAGATGATGGGGTCTCTATCGTCGCCGCCACCGAAGGGGGTAGGATAGGACGACGTGGTGGGCGGGCAGGGTGTGGCGACCGGTGCCGGGGGAAGGGACGGGGGCGGGTAGTAGGACGGGTTGTAGGGGTTGTCGCAGGACGCGCATAGGGTGTAGGTCGTGTCGTCCTTCAGCATGATGGTGGCCGGCGTCGGGTCGGCACTACCGAAGCCACCGAGGCCGGCGGCAAGGAGGATAGGGAGGAGGAGGAGAGCTGCCATGACTGATAGGGACGGAAGTGGGAGTGAGAGCATGTGCAATGTTTCCCAACGATGGTGGGATACTTAATTTGGAAGGGAAGCAAGAAGAAGGAAGGTGGCATGTTTGGTGACCTAGATTAGTTTTATTTTAGTCATCTCGTCCCGCCACTTGGTCGCGTAAATAAACGAAAACAATTGCTCCTTTTTGGGTGTGTGTATGCGCCGCATCAGTGGAGTGCAGGCCGGACGGTACCTTGCACGGTGCCACTTGCCAAGCATGAATTTTTAACACTTTTTTAAACTATTTTTAAAACTGACAGTTTTTTTAAAACCAACACTTTTGGACGCGCCAACTGACATGGCGCGGCCAAACCACTCTACCGCACAATGCATGGCGGCGTGGCCAGGATGCCACCATGGCAGCGACCGGTGACGTGGCCTAGCTCTGCCGCGCCATATACCTCGACGTGGCAGGCCCGGTAAAGGCCCGTGATGTGGCTCTCTCTCTCCATTCCTTTCTTTTCCTTTCATGCGTCCGCCGCCGCCAGACGCCTGCGCTCGCCGCCGGCAGCCGTTGGTCGCACCCTCCCTTTCTGGCCCCCTCCCTACCTTCCCCGAAGCTCCTCCTCGGCCTTGTCAAGGTAATGAAGCTCCTCCTCGGCCACAACGGTGGATCGAAGGATTTGAATGAGTAGTTAGGGTATGAAGGAAAATATGAGTTCGTTAGAATGTTGGATTGAAGTTGGTTAGTTAGAATTATGATTACCATGTATTCTAAGGTCAATTTTTATAAGAATTTTGCTTGTTTGATTTTGCATCTCAACTTTTATATGTGAATAAATATATGGACACACTGTTGATGTACAAAATTTTATTTTTTTACTTACCAAAGTATAGTTTTTATATAGTTTTCATGTTTGCATCTAAGATAGAGTTTGCACCAAAGTGTAGGTTATATTTTATTTGTTGTAATGCAAATGGTTCTCATTGACATTAATTTGTGATATTTTGATTTTTGTTTGTTAAATTACAACCGTTTTGTTAGATGCAAGAAAGGTATCGTGAGGAGTTTTGGCGAAAACGGGGTCGTACTCGAGAATTATACCCCGACACGTCTAGCAAAGATGCCCCCATCCCTCCTGACCTCCCTGTCCCTAACTGTGACTGTGGTTTCCCGGCCGATGTGTTTCAATCAAGACATCCAAACACAGCGGCACGTTGCTTCTACACATGCAGTCGTTTTAATGTAAGTAATTGTTTCCACTATCTTTTTTTCTTTATTTGTGTAAGTAGGCTACTAATATTTTGTTGGAATCTTGTTGTGTAGGCCCATGAGAGGTGCTTTTTCTTTCAGTGGATCGATGGTGCAGACAAATTTGACCCTAGGTACCTACTTTTCGACGATTGGTGTAGAGGGAGACATCCACATGAGCACTTCCAACGGTGGGTTCCACCCCCCTAACCCCCCACCAATGATGGCTAAGGAGAAGCACCTAGCTGCAGTTAGACGACTCGAGGAACCTCCTCTTTGCGAATGCGGAGATTGAGCTATGATAAACCCTGAGAATACGTTGGAGTTTGTGTGTCCGAACAAACACAAAGTAAGTGGAAAGTGTATCTG